TATTTTCAATACAGTTATATGTATAATTTTTATTTTAATTATTTTATTTATAACTGTTTTTATTTTAATTTAATATATTTATATAATGTATCGCATTATATGTGTATGGTTTAATATATAAATGATTTTTAATGATTTATTTTATGAAGAGTTTATATTATATATGTGCGCGTGGAATGTTTTTCAATAATATTCTATAATTCTTCTTCTATAAATTTTAATATTATTACGTTATTTTTAAGTATTATAAAAATGCAGATGATAATCTCGATCTTTCCCCTCGATCGCGGCCGCGTCCCCCTCGTGGCTTGTGCATACGCACAGCCCCCGCGCGTATGTCACCCCTTTTGTTGCGAGAAGGTTAATCAGAAAAAGAGCGGATCGGCCGATATACTCTTTTATTGATTCCGGCCGAATGTTAGGCCCCGAATGCAGTCTTGACAATCGGCATCGGGAAACAGCGAGAGGGAGGGGGGGGGGGGAGGGGAGGAATGTCACCCCTTTTGTTGCGAGAAGGTTAATCAGAAAAAGAGCGGATCGGCCGATATACTCTTTTATTGATTCCGGCCGAATGTTAGGCCCCGAATGCAGTCTTGACAATCGGCATCGGGAAACAGCGAGAGGGAGGGGGGGGGGGAAGGGAGCAAAAGGGAGGTATATAGTGCATGGGAACTACCGAAATTGGAAAGGCAATAAGGGTGTACCGAGAGTGCACCTCTATCGCTTTACGGGGGTTGCCTAGCGACCCCAGCATCCCCGTTCCCTCCCTCTCTTCTCGTCACGTCTCTCTGTCTCCCTTTCTCCATCTCGCTCGCTCCTTCCGCTTTCATCCCTTCGCGAGCCCCCTTCCCGTTTAACCGCCGGCGTTCTCCTCGTTGCTTCTCGGCGTCCACTTCGCTTTTTTCTTCCTTCCGCCCCTCCTTCCCTGCTCTTCATTCGCGTATCCGTACCGCGGGATACCGATGCTCTCTTTTTCCCCGACGTCCCCTCTTTCCTGCTCGCTTTCGTATTGTCTCTCTCTCTCTCTCTCTTTCTCTCTGTTTCGCTTCTTCACCGATCTCTCGAAAGGAGCCTGCGGGCTTTCATCCCGAGTTAGGAGCTACCCCTCTTTCCCCCGTTTCCTCATCCCCCGCCACAACGTAGCTCGCGAGGATATATCCGCTTCCTTCTCGAGGCAAACGTCGCTCACTTTCCGCACCTTTTCAGTCCTCGTCTTCCGATGACTAGCCCTCGGCTTCATTCAACCACCCCTTGGAAGACCGGCGCGCGCTCGAAAGATTGCGCGCACGTGTTGCGGGCCCCGAAACTTGGCCGAGTTTCGTCCTCGAATCGAGCGAAACGAAGATTAGAAAAATTAACAGGCCTCATGTACGCCTTCTTCGTCCTTGATCTGTGAAAATTATCTTTAAATATTTCAATGAAAATAATATTATTAATAGTGATGAAATAACGATAGTGAAGTAAAAATGAAATAATATAAGTGAAGATATTAGAAGGTAAAATATTAAAAGATTTATTCATTTTTTTTACGTTTCAATAGACGTATAGAACATAAACAATCGTTATTCTTCTCATCTACAGCTTATCTCATTAATTCTGCTATTTTATATACATTCGCGATTATAAAGTATATCAAGTCATTCTTTTATATAAAAATTATATATATTGCATTGAATCACACTTAAAAACATCTTTTATTATATACAAAATTTTGTAATGCATAAAAATATACCTAGTTTTGTGTAATAAAAAAATGTTTATCTAAAAAGAAAAAATCGAGAAAAAATAGACATATCTGTCTATAAGATTAACGCGATTTAAAAATTGAAAATGGGTCAAATGGGTCCCAAAGGAGCAGTGGACTTAATAGAAAGCCACTGTATCCCGAGCGATAACTCGACAATCGAGGGGGTTTCATCGAGTTTCGATTTTAAACAGAGATAAATAATCCTACGTGTGACAGGCAGGATATAAAAAAATTCGACTGTCGGTGCCGTGGTGAAAATCGACAGAGAGACACGTCTAACGGTTCGGAGGTTCGGGATTGGCTCGAAATCCCGGGCCAATTCTTTCTCCCAGACGGACACGATCGTCACACACGTCGTCGTGTCGTTCACCGGGAGAGAGAGAGAGAGAGAGAGAGAGAGAGAGAGAGAGAGAGAGAGAGAGAGAGAGAGAGAGAGAGAGAGAGAGAGAGAGAGAGAGAGAGAGAGAGAGAGAGAGAGAGAGAGAGAGAGAGAGAGAGAGAGAGCCTCGATAACGGCGGGCTTCGGGACAATTTAATTTAGATATAAAAAATAATCCCTTTGATTCACGGCGTTCGCTTCAGCGAGTCGCCAGGGCCCTGGAGATCCGCCAACCGTCATGAAAACTTCTCTTTGTCGCGAAACTTTTTTATGCTTCGAAAACGATCTTGATACAATCTGTTTTGGAGATCGGACCGGTTTATTACACGAAACTTCTTCTACTTTTTAGGAAGCGCGACGACATATTTCGATGCTGAAATATTCACAATATCTTATAAAGAATCAATTTATTTTTAGGTATATATATATTTGTATATATATGTGCAAACTTTTATATTATTTATTTCATTAGCTACTTAAAATTTTTTTTATATAATGCTATCTCTATTTTAAATTTCTTCTATGTTAATTTTACGATTTTATCGCGTTTTATTAGAGTTATATTTACAATGTTAGAAATCCAGCCATTATCAATTTTTCATGTATGCAATATTTTTGTAGCGTTTTTCTCTCTCTGTCTATAGATTTTTATTTTACAACATATTCATCACTTATTTTATTACATATAATTTCTTTTCCTTTTATTCTAATTAGTTTCTTTTTTTCTAACAAATAATATAAATTAACGTATTTTTTCTCGATTATATCGATTAATATCGATTGTCACATACGAATCTTTTTCGATGATCGAAAGAGCCTCCTTCTTCATCTTTGGGATTCTTAAATCTGGTTGGCTCAAAGTCGGCTCTCCGCAGGAGCCGCGGGGATTCCGGTCGTCTAACAGCAGGTGGCTATTAAAGCGACCTCGTCCACGTCGTCCGAGGACTTTTATGGTCCCCGAGGTCGTTCTACCACCGGGATTCCATTTTCTCGAGTCGCGATGTCCTTTTCACAATGAGATTAAGATAATCCCGTTGATCGTGGCTCATTTAATATCGACAGGCTAAAGTGCACTTATAGAGAATGATATGTTTATTAACCTGTGTGTTACGATTACTATTTACAAGATTTAAAATTATTTTTCACGCTTTCTATACGATCTTGTTTTTATTATAAAAACTTTAAACATCTTGAAAGCCTTAAAAGTCTCTCTCTCTTTCTTTCTCTCTCTCTCTCCTCCCTTTTTCTCTCTCCTACACTTATCACAAAAATCTTTTTAATTTCCGCCCAATTTGACGTAATATAATATTTATATAATAATAATCTTTTTTCATATACACAGTTTTTCATAATATTATGTTTAAAGAAATTTAATTAGAATTTAATTTAGTATTTAATTTAATTTAGTAATTAATTTAAACACAATTTTTTTCTGATGTTTATGCAATGATTAAAGAAATTTTTAATGTGATCAATTCAATGATTTTTTTTTTCGTACTCGGACATTTATCGATTGCGCGTTTTTTTTTTTGTGCGCGATGCGAAAACGCTGGCGAAGGAATTATTTGAAGAAATTTACGAAAAGGAATCCCACACGGAAAAATCGTGAATATTTTGCGTCGCGGCATTCAACGGGTCTCATAATTTCACGGAGTGAAACTTTTCACATTGTCTTCGGCAGAAAAGGAACTCTCAAACTCGAAGGAGTCTGAGAAAATTGGGAAAGATGAATGAGGATGATTATCAGAGAGAGTGAAATCGATGTAGTTTCAGTTTAACGATATTGATTAGACATTACGTATAATTAGAAAAACATCGTCATATTAATCATTCATTCATCGGAAATTCCGTCGTCCAAAATCCACTCTCGCTCTTGCCCCCCCCCCTCTCTCTCTCTCTCCTGCTCCCTCCCTCCTACAACTCTTCTCCAAAAAGGAACCTCGTGATGTAGCAGACACTCACACGCGCGTAGAGTTCGAAAGATGAGCGAAGGGTGGAAAAACTGCGCGCACAGAATCTCGTTTTCCTGGTTACGCGAAGTGGAAGAGGAGGATGAAAGAGGAAGCGAGATAAAACGAGATTGCGTAGAAAAACATGTTACCCCATCGACGGAAAGGGAGCCGCGATAGAACGAGGAAGAAATGAGCGGCGGAGGTTGAAGAGACACAGAGAGAGAGAGAGAGAGAGAGAGAGAGAGGGGAGAGGGGAAAATGCGAGGAATTAGGAAGGAAGGAAGGAAGGAAGGAGGCCCCCGGATCCTCTCTCTTTTCCGTTGAAGGTTGCTCGTAGAAGAAGGGGGAGGTCGTACGCCCTTGAACGAAGATGGGGCAATCTGACCCTACGACGTACGTTCCTCCCGCTGCTCCCGCTGCTTCCCCCTCTCCCCTCACTGCTGTCCAGGTGAGACCAGACGGGCTCTCGGCCGCCACTCTCGGGAAGCACCTCTACGACGACGACGACGGCGATGACGACGACAACGACGACCGAAGACGATGCCTTGATTTTCTGGGTGACGCTTGCGCCTTGAAGAACCACATTCTCATTCCTCCCCCCACCCTCCTTTCACCCTTTCCCTCCCTTCTCGCGATCTTCGAAGTCGGCGATGTACTCCGTCTATCTCGTCGTAGGATGCGCGTCAGGGGCGGCAGGAGCGGTTTTCGGGGATGGCAGGAGGCTCGTCGCCCCCTTCCACCCTCCGGCGGCGGTACCGGAACCGGGGGTATACATACATAATATCGCGCTCAGGGGTGGAAAGCTCGACGGGGGTGGGGACGGCGATGGACGATGGCGGGGGGATCGCGGGATTTCCGGGGCAGCCCGGGGCGAGGGGACGGGCACTAGGGGTTGATACCGAGGGGCAGGGCTAGGCGGGCGAAGACGGAGAGGGCGCAGTGGTCCCGCGACCATCAAACCAACAACACCGTCCTGCCGCCGCCGTCGCCGTCATCGTTGTTCGGCGAAAACGACCCCTTCTACTACTCTTCCTCCTCTTTTCTTCTTCTCTTCTCTTCGCCGTCGCTCTTCTTCTCAAGCCGACGCGGCGACAAACGTCCTTGTCCTTGTCGTTGTCATCGTCATCGTCATCTTCATCGTCATCGACTTGCCTATCTCGTGACGCAACGTTATTCTGCCATCGTGATCCTGCGGAAAAAATCTTTGGATGGATGGATGGATGGATGGATCCTCACACGATCCTGTCACCGCCATTACAAGCAGAATCGCGCTGTACCCAGAGAAGCAAGAGCCAGAGAGAAAGAAAGAGAGAGAGAGAAGAGAGATTGGGGGACAAAGAAGAGGAAGCGAGTGAGCGCCAGGTAATGCCAGTCGCATATCCGACCCTGATCCCGAAAGGTCCTTTCGTCATCGAGTTCCCTCGCCGGCCGTAATCGCGCCTCTCGCTCGCGTCTTCAACCCCTCCGACCGTTTGATTAATTAGCCCGCTTTCGATTGTTTGATCGAGCGCTTCAATTAGTATCGATCGCCACTCCTACAATTGATTTATCGATCGCGATATTTTTTTATTGTTTATATAATTCAATCTCGAGTAATTTATCTTGCGCTTTTTTGCCATCAAGTGCCTTCGAAAGTGTCATTATTTTTATTCGCTAATTATATTTTTTATTTATTATTTATAATTTTTTATTATTTTTTATTCTTATTTAATATCTTTTGTCAAATACATTCTTTTTGTTCAAATTTTTTTTATAAGTTGAAATTTTATTGCATGTAAATTTTGATTATATAAAATAAATAATTGAAACGATAATAGGGTTACTTTCTTTCGACTTTTCAAGTTGCTTATACACTATTCAATGATGATAGCTAATTAATTAGTGTTGTGATGGATTATTCGGAAAACAGGAAGTGCACATTTTTATAATCTTATTTAAATATCCTCGCTTTTAATATTTTACGTTTAATATATTATAATCAAAATTTGTATTTCGACAAAATTGAAAAATCTTTTAAATATTAAAATTTTTTATCGCTCTTTTCTCTTAAAATTAGAATTCGTCTATAATCACTTATGTCAATCGAAACATTCAAATTTTTTTTTACTTATCTTTTTATATAATTAGACGATTATTTTGATTCTGCCACACACATACATATTTTATCAAATTTATTAACTTTTTTACTACGTAGTTTCTTTCTTGCCGGAAATGTCAATGGTATATTAATAACGTATAATCATATAATTTCGTAACTCGAGATTTCTATCAACCAAACAATCTTCCACTCATTCCGACCAGACTTTCGACCGCGATATCTATCGGGTGTTTGGTCCGCTATCGCTTCTTATCAAGTGCACGCACGTGGATGTCATTTTCTTTATTGTTCCCCGCTTCTTTCCCCAGATTAACTTTTACAATAATAGCTCTCGAGCAAAATACCGCAAACTTTTGAAGAACAAACTTCTTTGATTTAAATTGTTGCTTGTTTCGAAACAGATGCATCCAAGATTATTATAATTCGTCAATTCTTAATTAGAGCTCATTCAAGAAGGGGCGACATATGGTTTGTGAATTTCGATAAAAGCGCACTGCGCGCATCAATTCACCATATGTCGTGAACGAAGCTGAAACTATTGCGATCCGGAAAATTATTCATCTGGGAATGGCAGCGCCCTTTTACGTGATTATACTCTTTGCTTCGAGGAACGTCCCATGATATATTCCAAAAGAGAGACTAGATGAAAGAAATCTTTTTGCGTCTAATAACAATATTAATTCTTGCACGCGCGCATCAAGAGAAATAATGAGAAATAATTATGTAAAATTTATTCGAAATAAAAATTATATATTGAGAAAAACATAGAGTGTCTTTGCATTGTTAAAATTAATGATGGGTTTATTGACGTTTGAGAGATGCTTTGGATCTTTGAGATCCTCGAATCTCGCAGAATCATAAACGCGATTCCTCTCTTTCACGCGATCTTTCTCGCGCGCGATTTTCGTGACACCCGGTAGGCAAGGTGTTCCCCCTATTCCGCGTAAGTACATTATGGTGTGTACTGTTGTTTTATCAGTAGTGCAGGATCGCCATGGCTACGAAGTATGAATAAGCCGTAGCCGACACACGTCGCCGCTGCTGCTACCTTGTGCCTAATTACCATTTTCGTAATTTTCTGTCACGAAACTGACTCCGGCGAGCCGGTCCTCGCGATCGCGATTCCTCGCGCGTCGATTCTTCGCTCTCCAGGCTCTCCAACTTCCGCCCTAAGCCTCTTCGACGAACAGGTTCGTCTCTGTGATCTTCTCAATTTATATATCTCTCCGATATAATTTAATTATAATCAATATTATAACAAAAAATATTCTAATTACCTTAAATAATTATCAATTCATTTATTTTTTTTTCACACGGAAACTCATCAATCCTTCCGATTTATATCATAATTTTATTTTCTTATTTTTAAGAGAGAGTAGATTTTGTCGACACTATTTTTTAATTTCACTATTGCTTTATTTTTTGAGTTTACATATAAATATGTAATTATCTGAAATATAATAAATGTATAGAACTCTAAAAAGGAACCCAAGTTTGCCTCGCGGAAATATATTTTTGCGCGCGAACGTTTGTAAGAGCTGACGGCCGGTTTTATTTCCGCCGAGACGACGCTTATCGATAAACGTTTAATCGATCCTTAGGAAAGCAGGATTCCGTTGTCCTCGCGAAGCGGAGACGCGACTAATTGCACGGCGGAACAGTTTCGACGGTTGAAGCTACGCTTTCCGCGCGGCAACTTATCGAACTGTCAATATGTGATCAGCTGACGCGCTCGATCGAGGTTCTCGCAAGCGGATTCCTATTTATAGCGTTTTGCACGCGTCGCGAACACATTATCGTGCCATAATCGACGCAACGGTTGACGCAATGTCTCTCCATCCGCCATATCGTTGTATGTATCACGAGGATATTTGAAAAAAAAAAAAAAATGTAATTAAACAAGAGTCTATAATCAATAGAAAATAAAAGTACGAATTTCTGAATAGATACAGAAATGAAAAATTATCAGTAGAACAATATTTTTTAAAAGCCGAAAGTAAAGCGATTTTAAAAAAAAATATTGAATTACAAAGAAAAAAATTAAAATTATTAATATGATTGTAAAAAAATTTCGTTATCATTGTTTTTACGGTTGAAATACCTGCATTTGTGTGCAGAAAAAATGAGGTGTAAAAATCTATTCTTGATATTTTTGCAATAAAGCTCTTTTTAGATGAGAGCGATTTAATCATTATATATATAGTCTGTTCTCTCTGTATTAACAATCTATGTAATCAATAATGTTATCATCTGATTAGCAGGTTGCTTGAAGTAAACATCATAATTCATATTTAATATTCAAGACTGAAAAAGCTAAAAATCGACAGACGAATTTTTTAAACTGATACTTGAAATTTGAAAACTGAGAGCTAAAGATTTGGATTCGAAAGACAAAAGTCAAGGATTTAGATTAGAGATAATGAGAACCGGCGGGTTCGTGCGACACGTTGACGTGGCGTTAAAGGAATCGTCATTATGAGGAGTACTGACCTAGGATCACAGGACTACGATGAACGACCGGCATATTAATCCTCCCGCTCTCTCTCTCTTTTTCATCGCGAGGAATGTGTTGCTTTGTTCCAGATACCAGGTAGAACCATGCGGTTTGTCGGCCCGGTACCGAACCTCTCATGAATGGAAGTAGGTTCGCCAGGATCGATGGCGTGAAGGCGTGTTGCCTTCAGGGGAGGATGTATCCGTGACGTTTCCAACCCCACCTGAGCGGAGGTGCCGGCGACGTGCACGTGCTCGCTTACGTCACGAGGACGAGCGGTCGCAGGACGCGGGCCATTCAGGTATCATCCCTGGAAAAAATTAAGGAATCAGCGCCGATTTCTCGAATCTCGATAGAAGAAGGATGAGAGATAACTTGATGGTAAGAGAGAATGAAATCTTTGTAAGATCGAAGGTGACACGAATATTAATTAATCATAATTCCGAGATTGATTTCTATCGGTGATTAATTTATCAATTAAAAAAGATAAGATAATAATCTCACAAATTTTGCTTCTCTAAAGATCGATCGATTAAATGCATTTTTATAGCGTGGTAAATTTATTACAAGATACTTTTACTATATAAAAGAATAAAAAAAATTATATTAATGATAAAAGACGCGGTGCTAAATTCAATTTACAAATACAATTAGTAAACATTAAATTATTAAATTAAATTATTAGTTTATATATAAATTAAAGACGGATTATTTATATAAATACATGTTTTATATTTATAAATCGCTATTATTACGTTTATCTTTTATTAATCTTGATAAAACTATCGGAAAGTATGTGAAAGTTAAGAAAGAGCATCTCGACGAGGTCGATATATCTCGATCGTGTCAGCGTCGTTCTTACCCCTGTGACTTTACAGCACTTATAATTAGCTTTATACTGCCACGCCCGATTACACACCCTCCTGCCCTTTACATCCCTCGTCTTCTATGACTCTTCGAGAACTTTAGACATAATTACCGACAGTTTCGTCAATGATTAAATCATTTTCACCAAATTAATACTCACAATGAAATACCCTTTCATCGAGAAATTGATTTTTTATATTCAATTATTGATTTAAAATTTCAATTAATTTGTGTGTATGTGTATATGTGTATACAAATCACGCAGTAAATAATAACTGTCTTTTAAACTATTTTAATATAATACTATTTTACAAAACAATATTACTATGAAAAAGTATATATTTTTATAGAGTTTAAGAAAGAACTTATTTGCATATTTTTACATATATTCCTATATAATGTTTATTTTTCTTGTGTTTGTATAATAATTTATATGAAATAAAAATATCAGGAATATATCGCAATAATTTATTAACGAAGTAATTTCGACAAAACGCTAATCATTTCAGAAAAATAATAAGTCAACGCTTTATTTTTATTCGGCACGTGTATCGATTTATCTCGAACTGACTGACTTCGAAATTATTTCTAGTTTATGTATCCGCCGCCCCCTCCTTATCCTTCTTTTTCCGCCGATAATAGGGCATCGCTCTGGATGTCACGCAGATGTTACACACACACACAGACATACGTCAGAGACATTTAAATATCTTTCTATTAAATTCCCGTTCCCTTGCTCACGAGGATTACGTTTAAACCCCCCTTCTCTCCCTTCTCTCTCTCTCTCTCTCTCTCTCTCTCTCTCTCCCCGTCTCGCGCGCGCGCGCGCGTGCAAAGGTAACCCTGACCCACAGCTCCGGCCGACCCAAGTCCCAGCCTTTCGAGGGAATGCCCCATTGTGTCGCGGAGACCAAGCAACGCTCTCCCCCTTCTCCCCCTCCCTCACCCCTGTCGCCATCGCCCCGTTGTCCCACTATTTCTCCATAGATATGAATTAGCCTTCGGGGCTTCGAGCAACTGTAGCTGCCAAAGACTCACCCTCCGAGGATACACGCGCCTTTTAAATCTATAGCAAACCCCCTCGTAGTGGAGAAAATAGCGGAACGACTTTTTGTTCCTTTCATTTCTTTTTTTTTTGTTCTAGTCTTAAATAAAAACCTTCACGTTATGTACGGGTCCGCCCGGACTTTAAAGTTTCGATAAATAAATTCTAGAAAATATTTTTTAAGAGACAATTGTCTCTCTCGCGAAATGTTTGTGTGTATCTTTGAAGATCTATAAACTTTTATTTTTTCGTGATATTAATTGCTAAATTAAATTTAAAAATGTCATTTAATTTAATATGCCTGTTTTTTTTTAATTTAACTATTGTCCTCCTCCACAAATTAGCATAACTAACTATTTTAAAATAATTTATTATTAAAGTTTGTGATTATATTAATATCTAAATTATTATAGAATATATTATTGATCACGATTCGATCGACTTCCCATCTTGATTTCTCAAAACTTAATTAACGTAATATTTTATTTAAAAATAAATGTACAATGAATTTCTCAAGTGAGAGAGAAAATGAATATCAAATTATGTTTAAAAAAAAAAAAAATAAAAAAAACCGAAGGGGATGAAGAATTCTACACGAGAGACATCATTATATTAACCCGGGTTCAACGACCGAGGGAAACGTCATTAATAGACGAATCTCGTGTGTCAACCGCGATCGTGTGAAACTATCAATCAAGATCACTGTCGACGTTAGACGCGGTATCCCATATGTTCGGCGTGAAAAGTGCGTAAGGATCGGTCAGCGCCACGTACAGGGGAAAAAAGGGGAGGGGGAGGGAGGGTGGATTTTTCGATTATGCGAATATCTCAGGCACAATGGGACCCCAACGTCAGCTGCTCCTATCATCTCGTTACCCCACGATCGACACGGAGCCGTGCACCCCCCCGCGAAATAAGCAATAAGTTACGTTAGCACTGTGTGACGAACTGTCTCCCCTCCACCATCTCCCTCACGGCACCCCGACCCCCCCTTGACCGAGGGCACCGCGCAGGGTGAACGTCCCATAGTGCAGTTTCGGCGTTCATCATGCTCGCTTCGAGTCTGTGCGATGTATTCCATATCTTAGAAGTAATCCAAACGCTTCCATTAAAATCGAGAAGACGTTGTCTTTTAATGTGTAATAAATATAATTTTATGTTAAATAAAAAACATGCGAAAACGCTCTATAAATAAATATTGTCGGCTTCTCTAGTTAACCATAATAATTTAGTGAAAAACAGATTTTAATTATTCTCAATGTAAAATGTTTATCCCGTCATCACGTGATTCTAGTTTTGTGATTGTGCCGAATTGAATTAAATTGAAAAAAAAAAAATGCGAGAACTCTCTTGCCGGATCATGTTTTGCTTTTCGATTAAATAAGTGTGCGTTAATTACAAGTGAAAAAAGACACGAATGAGAAATAATCATTTACTGTGATAATCATTACATCGATAAGTCTACCGTACGTGTGCGAGATAAAAATATTTTTTAGTACAGAATCGAAAGGATAAAAGAGATAGAAATATTTTCAAGAATGATAAAGTGTGCCTTCCAGGATCGCTGAATTATAGCTTCTGGAATCTATAACGAGTTTCAACGGGATGTACTGCCAGATAATGTCCGAGGGAAAAATTGACCGGAAAAGAAGAAGTGTGAGTCTGTGCTCCTTGCGTTCACTGCGGGCTTCCATGTGCCAACTTTTCAAAATTCATAAGGCACGCGGTGAATGCCAAGAGCGGACCAAATTCAACGATCTTCGTCTCGAGAGTAATCGATTTAAATTCGTGTCGAGTACATCTCAAAAACGATTTCTATTGCGCAAGGTTAGTAGCAAAGCATCGACGATAGCCTTCCTATTTCTACTTCTCTAGGAATTTGAGAATGTAAATCTAGTTATTAATTATTGTATTATGTCTACTTTTTTCTCAAATTTATTAATTAATCATATCCTTAACACACTATTTATTATAAATGTTTGAAAATTATTATTATATAATTTTATTATTATTAAATTATTGTACATCAATATAATATTTATAAGCCTTTATTTTGATTAATAATCGATGAGAGATATTGTTTAAAAATGATTACATAAACTTATTAATCCTATATTAAACTGTATTTTTTTAATAGACGCGCTTTCCAATTTTGCCGTTTCATCACTGTCTTTATCTACTGAAACTACTTTATAAGATCCTATAAAGAGATCTATTAAAAATAATGTTTTATCTCTTGAAATTTAAAATAGTATGAAATCAAGATAATAATGTATCTCTTTTACTACACAAACATATTTTTAACATTCACTATAAATCTTTTTTGTAATATTCTGGGTCGTTATTAATCAAAAAGTAATAATTTATCGAGAATTAATTTAATCTGGATACCTGATGTTTTTTCCGTCAAGCATCAAAACAGAATGAGAAAAGGAGTGGGTGGAGCGGCCAATGGTGGAAAGCAAGCGTCACCCCGATGAACG